CGAATAGGAGCACGTCCATCACTTGGATTCATTTCACAGTCGTGAAAGGTCTCTTCGTGAAGAATGGGCTAACCTCCAGCAAAGAGATATTTCCAGATTGGTAAAAAGTAGGCCGAGGCGTCTTCGAGATGTAAGATTAAGGCAAGAGGAGGAAATACCCGATATTGAAATGTTAATTAAAAATCTAACACGTAATTGAAACAAATTTTATCTGTCCGTCTTTTTTTATAATTTTAAAAATTTTCCTTAACATTAGCAATTTACTTTTTTTAAATAAAAACTCAATTAATAAACGTTAAAAAACGCGAAATTTTGATTAACATATAAAAATATATTTTAATCAAGTGGGTGGAATTTTTTGCTTGTCAGTGTTTGCTTCTAAATTTGGAAAAACAGAGTTTAATCGTTTTAATAAACCTTTTGTTAGGATTTTTTTAAACTTTTTTATTCAGGCAAATAAACAACGAAACATCGTTTTTGACTGCAATGCGTTTTTTATTGTTTAAGCAATAAAATACTGACAATGCTAATTTTACCGGGATTTATTTACAGTAATTGCATTTCTAAAGACATTTACTAGACGGTTTAATTATGCGAAATCTCATTTCGTTTAGTGTCACGGAATTGTCAAACGAAAAGAAAACGTCCCTTTTCAAAACCTTCTCAGAATGCTGTGCCAATTAAGCGGCGATGTAAAAATTCTCCGAGGTGCTCGGCGAAACGCATATCATTTTAGCACCGTGAAAGATCGGAGAACGTTTCCAAAAAGCGGAAAGGCGTTGAAGAAGCATTCCGAGTAATGGATCGTAAACATTTCCCAGCTGTAAAGACTTCAGTTTCTCGGGCCGTAATCCGGGATGGAACGATAGTAAATACTTGAAGTGCAGTAAAAGGCCTAGGACGCGGGCAATTAATGAAGATTAATAACGGTGGGTGAAAAGGGGGCGAGGGAAGGAAACGGGCCATGAGTTCAGAGCTTGAATGTTATTGCTCTCGACTCGGAAACCAATTTGCAATAAACTCATTTGCTATTTAGATAAAGGCGGAGGATTAGATCTAAGAAAGTGAAACTGCATTACGGAGACGGATTTCCAAACGGTTATTGCCTCATGTCTTAATGTAATAGGCTTTGAATAAAGTAAATCTTCCCCTTCTTACACATGACTGATCTTCATTTTCTTCAAAACCTTCTACAAACGAGTCTGCCTAAAGGACCTAGCGATAATACACATTCCAGGCATATTTGGCTAACATCAAACTACCGACAAAGTCTCGTCGGCATTTGAACATAGGATTTCTTTTAAAAGCAAGTAATACCGTCAACCAAGAGGCTTAACGTCAAAGTACGTATTAGCTTTCTTAAACTGGAGCTCACAAAACTTAATAAGACTTTTTTAAAATGCTTTTGTTATAATTAAAAAGTAAAAAAAATCATAGGATATAAACCCAAAACATGGCCATAATAATCCTTAAAAAGAAATATTTTACCTAATTGAAGAGATGTTTTTAAACTTACGATAATATTGATCATATGATCTGGAAAATCTTAATTTCAATATATTTAAAATAACTAATCGTGATCATTTGGACAACGTGAGATGCGGTCTGGTGTGACGTAGGTTTTATAAAAACATTTTCTTTATCGTGCCAACGTTTTGATCTTTATTGAGATCATCTTCAGGGCTGTTTGTTTTCTGTGTAGGTGTGTCATTCTTATGGTCAGCACGACACACAAGAAGGACACAACTACGCAGAAAACAAACCCTTTGAGCTCTGAAGATGATCTAAATAAAGGTCGAAACATTGGCACGATAAAGAAAATGTTTTTCTAAAACCTACGTCACACAAGACCGCATCTCACGATTTCGAAATAATCATTAATTACATTCTTTCTACTTAGAACTTTTCATTGACGTGGAATGTGCACCACCGATTAAAAGAGGGGCTTTTAAAATACGCAATCTACTATTCTACAAGTACTTTTCTGAACAAAAGAACCTTAAACAAAAAATGACTGATATGCAACACAACGTTGACGTCTAAATGTCTTACAGACGTTATATCTGGGTTTGAACAGTCTGGATCAAGGTATGTCTTGAAGAAGAGAGCAAATTTACTTGCTACTGACGAGCTTTCGGCACATTTTAAGGTCATCATCAGGACAAAAAAACAGTAAATTTGTCTACAAACTAACATTTTTAACATTGTCTTACCCTGATGATGATCTTAAAATAGGTCGAAGCTTGGCAGTAGCAACTAAACTTGCTTTTACACAAATAAATTTTCGAAATGAAAAATTTGTGTCACAGGCGGGATTTGAACCCACGACTTTGGACTAAATACGCCTCTCCTTAATTGAGTATATGGATAGTGTGTCGTGTTGACCATAAGGCCATAAGAATGATACAACTAGGCAGAGGACAAACACTTTGAGCCCTGAAGTTGATCTCAATAAAGGTCGAAACGTTGGCACAATAAAGAAAATCTACGACAAGCCACACCACATCTCACGACCTCCAAATGATCATTAACAAACGGTCACTAAACACCACAAATAAATAACAGTTAAAAAAGTTCTTTTTTTGCAATACAGAGAGTACGAAAAGAAACAGAACGAATTTATCCATTCTAAAGACAGGGAGAATAAAACAAAAAATAGAAACAGTACTGCTATATTAAAACAATTCGTACATAAAAGATTATACGTTCATGCACATAAAATACAAACATTTTAATCTTTGCCACATTTCCATGGTTTTTTATTTTAAAAAATATCCTGAGTTTTTCAAATCAGTAGTGTTTGAGTTTTGTAATTTTTATAACAACCGTGCTCTGCAAAAAAATTTAAGGAGAAAGAAAAGCAATTAAGCACCATGTTATTATCTCCTTATTTCCTAGCAACAGCCACGTCCAGTAATAAATATGAGAAGGTTGGACGCCGACAAACAGCTATGATTATCGCCGTCCCTCCGCTCATAGCTTTTTCTTTTTCTGAACTTTCACTCGTCCAAAATAAAAACGTACAAATTTACTGCTCTAATCCATAGGAAGAAACAAACCAGACAACCCAATTTCTACATGTACTTATGAAACATATGCGGTAGAAATACGAACACAAATTGTCATTTTTTCTCAGGCTCAGTCCATCCCTTAGCCGCAGCTCGTTGGATAAAACTCTTCCAGATAGGACTTATTTTTTTAACAACGACCCAAAGTTTCCCCGACTATTTATATTCACTCGGATATTGGAAAACTTATTAGAGTGATATTAGGGGTTTTCACCAGTAAAATGTCTAATTATTGAATTTGAATTAGGATGAAGAGTTTGAATAATTTCTAAGAAAAGCAACGTAATTATTTAACCTGTTCTTTACGTTAAAACGTAATATTTGATTTAATTCCCGGCGAAATTTAATAAATCCATCAGTCCCAAATTCTGACCAAGTGTTTCGTCGAAAAATCAACTTTTACAAAACAAAAAACAAGGTTTTTACGTAACTTAGTGAATTGTTTCAACCTCATTACAAACTCGCTTCAATCCCTTTTTGCCAGCTATTTAGTATGCTGAGGAGAACAGCTGCTTGTCTCTTTACTCAGCATGTCGCAAAAAAAATTAAGATTTTCAGATATTATCATAATCTTTAGTCTTTCATCATTGTCACAAGATAATTTAATAAATTTCAGCGTTTTATACAACTTTATAGATAAAAAGAATAATTAATTGGAATAATTAATATGGTCAATTATGACCACTAAGCAAATATGGATTAGTTTTATAGAACTTTTGCTCGTTTAGGGCCTCTTTAACTTTTACCTGTGTCCCTACCGGCCAACCTTTCCCAAATATTTTCGCCGCCATTCCGTCCCCGGCCAACATTTGCCGACGTACTTTTCACAAAGTCGATTTAACAGCCTCTGTAATTAGTTTCGTCCAATTAGTTCGCCTCCAGCGTAAAACCCTTTACAATCCAGTTCTTGGAGTTACTCCAAAGTCTTAATTTTACTTAAGGAGCAGTAGCCTGATTAGCCACATTACGGAAAAGTGGCATTAACCGAAAAAAGGTCTTTTTAATAAAAGCTCCTCTTTGCTGCATTTACAAGAAGGCCTGCTGATGTTTGCATATCCAATTTTACCCAGCATTTTCGTACGTTTCTTTATTTCAACTTCGCAATTTTACGTGAAAACCCTTTTGATGAAAGATTTTGAAAATGTTTAATATAACATGTTATAAAATCTATTCTTGTCTATTAAAGCATTAAATTTAAGGAATTATAAGAAATACAAAAGCTTCAGAATAAATCCAATCTGTTGGCAATAATGGGAATAACACATCATAATCTATGGAAATAAAAATTCCCAGTTAAAGCAAAATAAATTAAAAACGATGCAATCTTGCATAATTTGCTTATATAGTAAACAATATTTTTATTTAGGCTGTTATGAAAAGTTCTGAAACCACTTTTTATCATCTTATTGTTTTAAAAATTGAAGTGCTTATGCGTTTTTGTACAAAGAGTTTACACGGCGTCGACCACCTGTTATGATCGTTATTTTTATTCAATTAATTAATCTTTATGTAAAGTATTGGTTGAGATAAAAAAGTCAGTGTCACGAGCGGGATTCGAACCCACGACCTTGACTCAGTACGCCGCTGCTTTAACCACTTGAAAAAAAATACAAAAAGGAGGGAAATTCGAAAGGTTGTAGGTTGAGATGGGGAGTAGGTGTCCGAGTGGCACGAAGTCACGATAACTCAAGAGGTAGAGCAGCGGCGTATTTAGCCGAAGGTCGTGGGTTCGAATCCCGCTCGTGACACTCACTTTTTATCTCAACTAATACTTTACGTAAAGATTAATTGATTGAAAAAAGTAATTTGGTCAATCGGACCACGAAATGTAAAGAGTTATTTTTATTTATACTATCTCATATATAAGTAATTTTAGAAACAAAAAGTGTAAACAAGAGTAAAATTAAGAAAATGTGTTTATTTTTGTTTCAGTTAAGCAACAGCATTGGATACGTGCTGTATTCAGCTTTGGGTTCCTTCTACATCCCAAGTTGTATCATGGTGTTCGTCTACATCAGGATATACTACGCGGCCAAGGCGAGGGCGCGGAGAGGCATCAGGAAAGCGGTCTCTCGTCCGAGGTCGGAGGAAAAGGTGACCTCTTTTTCCAGGAGGGAACCGATGACGAGTCCGGTCGACAGGAACAGCAACAACTCGCCAGTGACAGTGACTATCGAAAAACCCGCCATCCCAGTAGTGACGTGTGATTTTGCGTCGGACATATCGACGTCGGACAATGTTGACTTGCCAGAATCGGGGGTGGGGAAGGACACGCTTCAAGTGCTCCGGCCGCCTTCGTCGACCCTCTCGCCGAACGTCACTTTTAAAGGGAGCACGTTGTCTGTGAACGGCGACCTCGCGGCTGTGACGCGTTGTAGAGCTCCTTCCGTCGGGATCGACGCCGACATGGTCTCTGAATTCGACCCGAGCTCTTCGGATTCGGGCGTCGTCTCTAGATGCGCCGTAGTCAAACCCCTAAAACTGCGGTTGTGCAAGCCCATTTTCGGAAGAAAGAGTTCCAAAGCAAAGCGGGAGGTTATAGACATGGGGAAGGTGTCGAGTGGCTCCCAGGAGATCCCTCAAGAAATCCCAAAAGTCCAAAAACCCAGGGATCCGGAAAGGGAGAAAAGAAGGATAGCGAGGAAGAAGGAGAAGAGGGCGACGCTGATTCTAGGCCTTATCATGGGTTCGTTCATCGCCTGTTGGCTTCCTTTCTTCTTCCTCTACATCCTGACTCCGATGTGCTCCATTTGTGACATACCGGACGTCGCGTTCGCCGTCGCGTTTTGGCTCGGTTACATGAACTCCGCGCTGAATCCTGTCATTTACACGATATTCAATAAGGATTTTAGAAGAGCGTTTCGGCGGATACTTTTCAAATGATGCTTTCCTATCGCTCCCTCGCGTTGAACTGACAACGCGAACGGCAAGGATCTACTGTGATATAGTCACTCCCTGAACGGCTATCGGTTGAATAGTGCCACTGTGATATGTGCATGCATGACCACCTTCTCTTTTTACAATTGTAATTTTATAGTACAATAATTACAGTAGACTGTCTATTATTATGACTTGAGGATCTTCGCACGGGCACTTTTATTTCCTGCGAACTGCTGTGCACTGTTGTGATTTGAATCGACTTTCCTACGAATCACGGTCAGGGCGATGAAAATAGTACCGTTAGCAATACCTTCTGTTACTAATTAAGCACTTTGTACAAATTGAAATACCCCATTAAATTTTTGTAAAAGTTTAACCCTTCCGTTGTACTCTATGATCCGCCGAGCTAAAAACAAATTTTCATAATTCTATAAATATAAATAAATTTAAATAAAAAAGTAGCACAATGTTTTTTCTTTTTTTATAATTATGATATGTCACGCTTATGAAACAGGTTTGAAGACTTAACAATTCCTTATAATCTTTTTAAGCCGATTTATACATCTTTCTACCCAAAACGGTCTTTAAATTAAATCATTTTTATATTTCATTTTTGATATAAAAAACGGAAAGGTTAAGTTTCACAATTTTAAAAACTTATATATACATATATAGATGATTCATTTTTAATTTATAAGTACAATTGCTAGAACAATCAGTCTTATAGAGTTCTCTGTAAAATTTTATGACGGGTTCAAAAGCTGTGAGTACTTTTTTCGGACAATGTACATTCTACTTTTTCACACTCATTTGAAAGGGAGGGTCTTTCTAGAGGCTCTTAGACGGGAGAAAACTTTGCACTTTAAGTCAAGCTCTTGGAGCACTTTGGGCCCCATGAGAATTTAATAATTCACTTGGATGTCTCGATGTATCGTCCGCCCAAGGTACCTCGCACAAATTTCCTAAATGAATATCAATTCTAAATGTTAAATTTATTTTAAATCTCTTATGGGAATCGTTACATTGAATTGAAAATGCTGAATTTATTTATTTTTGTTTTTAATGAAATCATTTTTCACGCGGTATTAGCTTTAAATCTATAGAAATCGACTTACTGCTTGAACAAATTCAAGTATTATTGTTTATCCTCATTATTTTTATTTACACACATAATTTTTACATTAGATATATAAACGTGTATATTATGTAATGATAAATATTTAAAAAATTGTTTTCTCTTTAAAATATTTAAATGTGTTATTTTTAATCTATAATGAGTACGCGAGGATTGTCTTAAGTCCTTAAACCGTAAGAAAAGCCAAATACATTCCAATTATAATATATTATTATTATTTGATGTCGTGCTAAATTCAATTTTTGGGGCAAAACGTTAAATAAAACTGAGAGGTTGGATGGGATCAAAACTATTGAATTACATTCTGCGCATTTCTAATGTTAAGATTCGATTTTACACATTATCCATTTATTATTACTAAAGATTGTTAAGTAAGTATTTAAAAATTGCAATACACATTAAGATATGTTCAACATCTGAAATGTATGTTGGAAAAAAAATAATTTCTCCATAAATATAATTTTGTAATTGTCAATGTAGAAGAAATACAATACAATAAATTTTATTGTAAATCCTTATTATATTATAAAGCATTTCGTGTTTGCGACCAATTGTTTGTTTTTCTCTATAAAAAAAAACATTGTTGTATTCCCGAAAAAAATTTGTTTCTAATGTAATGTACAGAATTTTTATGAAAAAAAAACTACAAATTTATATACAAAAAATATAAATTTGAAATAAAATAAACCATATAATAATATTTTAAGAATATAGAATAATAGCTATAAATTTATCTATTATTGCTATTCATTGATGTCAAGATTATATTTTTTTATTATTCAGTCATGCTAGTCTTTGTAACATAGGTAAAATAAAACTTGTTACGAGAATTTGCCCAATTGGCTGGTTCTCCAAAGGCGAGGAAATTTCTTAAGAAAGGCCAAAATGGTGCGAAAGGATGACAACATCCAGCCCTTATTGGAAGGCAAGTGAACTGCATACATCCGTAGACATGGTGCCGAACGTTTTATATTATTAATGTTAAATAATCAAAATATTTAAACAAAGCGTTAAGATAGATTTAGTCGTAACGAGGCAAGTAAAGAACGGCCGTAAAAAACGTAGAGTAGTAGGTAAATGACTCACAATTGAAATTGGGAGTCTTTTTTATTAATACATTTGTGATATAATTAGTCATTAGTCGTAGTGAAATTTAATGAAAAGTTGTCCTAAAGTTCATGCTGAGAGCTCTCACTAAATCTTTTTGTATCATAATTGAAACATGATCGTCAAGAAAATAGACGAGTTCAAATATTTATGCTATTAATGCTGTTGCAATTAAAAATTGCTCGTAACAAAGATCAATTAATCACTTAATAAAGTTACTTATAATTTGCACTAACTTCGCTTTATCTATTTAAGGAATTGATTAGTAGAAAACATAAATAATTTATTAACTTCAAACTAAACGACAATAAATAAGTCAATTTCTGCTTCTTCATCAACTTATCGTAGTTAATAATAACCAATCTGTGCAAATTAATTGCAGCAACCTGTACGAGTTCCCCTATCATTGAGTTTTCCGAAAGAAAAAATAAAACAATATTTAAAATGTAGTGTCGTAATAGATATATTATATCAATTTAATAGATGTTTTCCAGAAAATATTAGAATTAGAGTAACATACTACGTAGAAATAGCATAGTACAACACAGCATAACACGTTCATGGCGGTTGATATTTTCAACTCGCAAATTACAAAAACCCAAAAGTTATACAATTACAAAAAGCATACACCTTTCTCAATCAAAGTAGTTTCAAAGTACGGCTTAGAAAACATTGAATAGAATCAATAATGGTTTTGTTGAAAATGAAAGTTTATCAACAGGTAATAAATCAACAAAAACGTAAAAGCGTCAATTTGTTATATACATCGTTTTCGTTTATATACATATATAATATATATATATATTATATATATATAATATATTATATATATAATTGTTATATACATCGTTTATATACATCGTTTTCAACAGCATTTTAAAAACTAAAGTAAAATAAGGTCAGGAATGTTTTGGTTTTGACGCGTAAATTTGAACAACCACTTACATAAACAACACAAATAGTGGAGTTTGTGATATAATTTTTACTAAGCTGTAAAAAGCCAAAGTAAAAGAATATATTGTGCTATTTTTTATTCCTTTTCATTTGTTGATTTTACAATTGTATAGTTGTTCAGTAAGATAATATAATCCCTTTTACTATTTTTTTATTAGTGATAATCATAATCATAATTTAATAAAAGAGGAAAACTAAACAGTTTAAGGAAAAATTTTTCATTCAAATTAACAAGGAGACTGGTGTAAAATATGTTACATGGTTAAGTTAGAAGCAGTCCTGCTTATATTTCGTAAGAACAAAATGCTGGTTTGGTTAAAAAAATTAACATAAACATTTAAACACTAATAAACAAACGGTTTAGTTTATTTCTATTATGTTGATTTTTAATTCAGTATGCACAAAAAATAATGGCAATTAATTCTAGATTGTTTTACGTTCGGATCATTGTGAAAATTTCCTCCGATTCCCAGTGCCACCCACCCGTCCAGTTATTTCATTAATTCCAAAAACCGGAATTTCATTTAATATTCATACCGTGGAGTCTGGATTATGTTGCGTTTCTTACCCGTCGTAAAAATCTCCTTTTCTTTCTCTCAGAAATTCCTACTTGGAGGCAGCATCGCCTTTCTTTATATCCTTTTTGCGCCTTCCTTTAGAATATGAGAGTCCCGTCCGGTCCTGTCTGCCCTTCCCATCGCCTCTTTGAAAAGCCGAATGCTTTATTTTCAGGAGGTTCTTTAGCCGAAGGTATACACGGTACAATGAAACCTACAGAAAATTTCAAAACGCCGGATATATTAAGGTTGTAAAAAAAGGTATGTTTGTTTACGAAAAAAAGTGGTAGTAAATTGCATGTTTTTACATAGTCTTTAAACCTTTTAAACCGTGTAGTCAAGAGCAAAACAAAAAAATAACACAATATTTCCTTGAAAAACAAAAAGAGAAAAATATTTAGTGAATTTGCATTATGGTAGAATTTCAGCCGAACCGCCTTGGATGTGTAAATAAGTATTTGTCATTAGGGATCATCGGGCATTACAATTTTATTGATTAATGAAAATAATTTGTTATGTAATATAATACAATATCATACATAGTAATAAGGTGGTTTTATAACTAGCGTGTAGATGTGACATCGTTACGTGAGAGCTCTTGAATGTTAAATAAGGAAACGTTAATAACGTGTGATTTGATTGTTGAGCTGTTTCTTTTTCTTTTCATACGCTTGATAAAATCGTTAGTTTATTGACCCCATTCAAAATATTTCTCCGGCTCTGAGAGAAATCAAAAAGCCAGTAGACCATTTAATGCGGGTACATAACCAACTCTCATCCTACGCCTAAATTCAGAGGATAAGTGCCTAAATAGTTTGATTTTCGAGTTTTTTGATGTTTGTCGTTATCGAGGTACGTATAATTGTTTAAGCATCGCTTTCGAAGTAGTCGTCGATCGCGGTCTCCGTCGTGTGTACGGCGTCGGGCTGCAATGCTCGCGGACCCGGTGCCACTTTAGAATCAATGGCCGTGAAATTTATGTACATAGCACATGGCCATTTGTGATAGGAAAGCGTTTGTATTGATGTCAGTCTTTCATGTTTATTTTCCGAAAACGCCTCAGAAAAAAAAACCCTGAAGGTGCGGGCTTTTCTTACGGGGGGAGGGCGACTTTCTCAACGATAACCCGGGGCACATTCTATGCATTTAACAATATTGTACCTCTACAATTTCGATTTTTACTATACGTTTAAAATATTTAAAAGATCAAAAAATGTATTTTTTTTAATTTCCAAAACTGTATCATATTATTAAGCCAATGGTTTGACACCATAAAACCAATAATGAACAGGAAATAGCTAGTCATAAAATTTTATTAATCGAGCCTTCCAAAACCCGTTACATTTCGTAATACCCCCTCCCGATTCCGTAATATTTTGAAACACTTAAAAATATTGATGCCTTATTGTAAATGATACAATTGAGTAATTTAATAGATTAGCGTTAAACTTGTATTCCGAAAGTCCTCTTTAATGTATATACAATTGTGTTTCTAAATAAAGCATATAGTATGTAATTCATATTCATGATTAAAAAAATATTGTATATAGTATCGTCTTCCACAATCAGTGTGACAAATGTTTTGTTTTGTAGTTCGTAGAGAGTGGTGTGGTTTTATTAAGTTATTGTCCTTTTTGTATTACAAAAATGAAAAATTATATCAGATGTGTATTTATTTATAAG